TGTGAACTGCATCTTTCTATAGAGAAAATAAGGCAATCAATATTAGTTCATCTGAGAGCTATGAACAGTGAGGTTCAGGATGTTCAGTTACTTTCCCAAGGTCACACAGAGATGATATGCCAAGAAAGAAGCAGTGTCTCTTGAGAGCTCAGCTCATATTGGACATTTTGCACATATTACAATATGAATTTGTGTGTGTGTGTGTGGGGGGGTGTTTTCAAAAAGCCCAGTAAGACTATGCTGTGCAAACAATTAGAATTCTTTGTTGTTAGCAAACTTCAATCTAAAACGGATTCAGCTGAGGAGTGGTGTGGGTTGGTTGGACATGGGCAAAGCGGGGAGGAAATTTGGGATGTCTGGAATAGTGTTAGCAATAAAAAACCTGAGAAAACTAAAAAAAAAAAACATATTAATAAAATAAAATATAAAATGGATGCACTGAAGTGGAACCATTGTTTTAAGTTACCATGTCAAATCAGAAGAAAGAATTACAGAATCAGCTTAGTGAGTAAAATGAACTTGCATAAAAAGCAGCTACACTTGCCCCTTTTTTCCCCAAGTGCAGAAGTTGACACATTTTCATTATAATCCCAAAGGATAAGACTCACAGGGAACGTGAAGTGAAAAAAAACAAACAGGTGTCTGAGTAGGTGGCAAAGAACTATTTCATGAAAATAAAAAAAGCTTTCCAAGCAAAATAATACAAATTAAAGAATCCCTGCTTTGGATGGATGATCCAATAGAAGTGAAGCAATGCTGTGCCACTCACTGGAAAAGGAAAACTGGCATAACAGCTGCCACCTCTGGTTTCTGTCTGCTTCCCCAAATGAACTGGAAAAGCAAGAAGGAGAGCCTCAATTTTAAAAAAATATATATTTTATTGATTTTTTTACAGAGAGGAAGAGATAGGGATAGAGAGTTAGAAACATCGATAATAGAGAAACATCGATCAGCTGCCTCTTGCACACCCCCTACTGGGGATGTGCCCGCAACCAAGGTACATGCCCTTGACCGGAATCAAACCTGGGACCTTTCAGCCCAAAGGCCAACACTCTATCCACTGAGCCAAACCGGTTTCGGAGAAAGCCTCAATTTTTTAAAAGTTGAAGTTTTCTCATACCTATCATATATATTTGCAATTCTTTTCTTTATTGTCCATTTATATATTATCATGCAACCAGAACCCAGAATCCTAACTCTAGGTTGAAGGTCCTGCTTGGTAAGTGGCATAAGGAGGATTTGCTGTGTCTTCATCACTCCTGTGGCCATACAAGTGCAATGTTTTCTAGCAAAATCAGACTCAGGAATCACTCCATGCCTTTTCCTGATAAAACAAAAAGAGGTGCTGGCTCTCACTTAAGGTCACAAAGGTACAAATGTCAGGGCCGGGGCTGGCCTTTGTCTCAGCCCACTTTATTCCACAGCTCTCCAACAAGCCAGTCACCTGGTTCAAATCCCAGCTCTCCCATTTACTAGCAATGTGACCTTGGACCAGTCATTCAACTTTGCTGCACTTCATCTATAAAATGGGATGGTTACAGCTCACAGGGCACTGCTCACAGGGCACTGCAAGAATTGGTGAGTAAAGCCCAGGGCAAGTGCTTGAGAAAAGTTAGCAACCACCACCACCATCATCATCGTCGTCTCTATTCCTTAGCTTTCCATATGGAATCCATTGAACAGTCGTGATTTATTATGCTTAAATGTATTAGAGCAGCAATTTTCAACCAGCATGCCAAATGGAGTTTTTAAAACATACAAGTCTGACTATTTAGCCAGGGACACTGACCTCTTTTCCCTTAGATTGTCAAATAAAAAAGTGACAACAGCCAACACAACAATATCTATCCAGTGTAAGTGGATCAAAATTATACCTATTTTTTGTCCAATTAGCAAAAAAAAAAAATTATATATATATATATATATATATATATATATATATATATATATATATATATATATAAAACTGGCATAACAATATATATATATGTGTGTGTGGGGGGAGGGGACAGTACAGCCTGGCCTGGGGCTTATGTAGCATGAACCTTTCACCAGCAACAAAGGAAAGAGTTCCTAGGCTTTGTGTCAGCTTGCCTGGATGCAGGGCAGAAGGGAAAGAGCCCGCGAGGCTTAAACACTGTCACAGTCAAGCATAAAAAAAAATAATTAAAAAAAATAAAACAGGATCAGACTCACGTGTTATTACAAACTCTGGGAGATAGATCCCATCTTGGAGATGAGGAAACAGGACTCAGGCTGTGTGGATCACCTGTCACAGCAGGTTTAACTTTAGCCCTTCAACTTCAAACCTAAGCATCCTTCCTTCCCCCCAGTCCCAAGAGCCTGTGAATTCCTGTCAACCAGGTGACAGGAGGAGAACTGCCTGGCCCCACCTGCTTGCCCAGCATCAGTCAGCCAACCATAGAACAGCTGTGAACATCTGTGATCCATTCTAAGCCCAATTAGTGGTTTATGATCACCTTAACTTTCTCCACAGAAGAAACAAAGAGAGAAAGGAGGATGGGAGGAAAGAAGTGGGGAAGGGAAGGGAAGGAGAGAAGAGAGGAGGGAAGAGAACAAGCGGGGAGGGAGGGAAGAAGGAAGGGAGGGAGAGAGGAAGATTTCAGTTCTAACGTTTCCATTGCTAACATTATTGTCCTTGAAGCTGGGGGAAAGGTGACACTGTTAAAGGATTCTCTTCACATTCAGGTAAAATTCCATTTCCAGTTTATCGAGTGAACATTAGGCTCTATTGCAGCGGTCACACTCTTAGCGATGGCTAGCATCCATTTCTTTTATCTGTAATTGAGTTCCTATAGGATTTTCCCTCTGCTTAATGTCTTTATTGAAATTGCCCCTCATTCCCCCCATAAAAATTCCAAGTCTCGAGCATTACCACAAAATCATGAAAGATTAAATTAAAATGAGCAGGAATCAATTTTTCATGGGTTATAAGGCTCTGAATCACCTCAGTTGGAGTTCTTCAGGGTAACCAAGCCAGATCAGGTTCCAAAATTGCTAAGCTTTCCTGTTAGAATTACAGTTACTTCAGCTCTCCCTTCAACTCAGAACACCCCGTTCTGCTTCTCCTCAGGTGGGCAGCATTCACCAGCTAAGATGGCCTCACATGGGAGCTATACAGGCAACCGGATCTGTTTTGAACCTGCTGGTTCTGCAATATTTATGTATCAGTTCATGACTCTTTTCTGAATGAATTGCATTGCAAATCAAACCACTACTTAGGACAGAAAATATTTATGCTTCTCTGTTGGCCACATTCAGGAAGCACTAAAGAGGTCCTTGCCTTTCTTGAAGATTTCTTATATCTATTTTTAGAGCCACAGGAACAAATCTCAGTTAAGTGAAATTCCCAATGGCCAGTCTTTCTTCCCACTTACTAGAGCTGCTGTGTACTCTAACCTTCCCCCTGTCTATCCTACTACACTCTGAATCCTCTTTCAAGGATAGAATTCAGATATGAAAAAATAACGTTTGAGAGAAGCATTCAGGCAACTTATTTCTTCAGGAAACGTAATATAAGTAATTGATCAACATGGGAAATAGGTAAGGAAGATTTTGTCCTATGATTAGAATGGCACCAACAGGCATTTCCCCAAAGAGTCATCATATGCCCCCACCACCACCAACCACTACCATCCATCCACTGCAGATGGTCATAGGACACCCTTTCATTATCATCATCACCATCTTCAGCATTAGCATCCCTTTTGAGGGAATTATAGCTTATTGGAACAGTTAACAAAGAAGAGCACAATACTGGCTGGGGGAGGGCGGAAGATAAATTCAGGTAGATAATTTGCTACTAACAAAAAGAAATAGCAAACATTCTGGCTGTCAAGGTCAAGTCTTTCAATTCCATTGACCCCTCTATTTTAAAGAAGTAAAGCCTATCATGTCACCTCTTATCCTAGCAGATGTGGACTTTCTTCCCTGCAGAAATAGGAGTGCATTTGAGCATTCTCAAAGGAACTCTTGGAGCACTGGATCAAATTTATATGAAACAAACGCCTCCATTCCCTGATGTAAGAAAGGAAGCATTTGATTCCAAACACAGTCCATAATCACTTGGCATAATCGAATCATTGTAGACAGATTCGTTATTAGCCCTGACCTAGAAGAGACTTGGGGATATTCTACACACAGTACTACCAACATTGAAAAATGTTGATGCTTATAGGTTAATTGGTTCCAACGTGCTTTAGCGTGTTTGTAATCCAGTCTCATCTATTATTTTATGCCCAATTCTCTTGGAAGTCCAAATCCCCAGGCAGCAGCTGGCCATCCCTCTCCCAGCCCCCTCTTCCTCGAAGCTTTCCAGTGCCCTGTTCCCGCCCCGGCTGCCGGCCCCTCCAGGAGCATCCAGCCCGGAGTGCGGCACACCACGCGCAAAGTCCCCTCGAATGCCCCCGACGGCTCCCACACCCCGTCCTAAGCCCAGGGAGGGCTGGTCGCAGGCCGCGGGGAGGCGGATGCCCTCTGTGAGCGCCGGCTGCACGTCAGGACCTTCACGGGTGGAGGAGAAAGTGCTGGCCACCGGGCGCGGGACCCGCCATCACTTGCCTCCCAAACCCCTCGCCCTAGACGCACGCGGGAGTCAGCAGGACAGAGAGCGGGGGTCACTTGGACCTTGGACTCTCCGCCGGGGACACTCGGGCTGGGTCCTCTGAGTGGCCGCCGCCGGCACCCGGACACACTCCAGGGGAGAGGGGCTCAGCCCGGCCGGAGGGGCGCCCCCTTGGTGACCGGTGGCCGTAGCGGGAGCACGGGCGCGAGGGTGGCGGCCCGGCGCTGGAGCGGCGCGCCCCGAGATGGCACGGCCAGAGACCCCGTGGGCAGGGAAGTGGCACTTGCAAGGTCAACCAAGGGTCCGCGTCTATGCAGACCCAGAGGCCGATCCACCCCCTTCTCCAAGCGGGAAAAACTAGCGTCCGGCATGCTGAAGCCCGGCGCGGGGCCCCGCTCCCGCCGCGCCCGCTCACCTGGCAGTGGGTTCCGGAGACCCCGGCAGGACAGGTGCAGGTGTAGCCGCTCTCGCCGGCGGGAGTCGGGGACTGGGGGCCGGGCGCGGGGCGCGGGGTGCAGACGCCCCCATTCCGGCAGGGCTGCGCGGCGCACGGCCCCGGCACGGGCAGGGGCACGGCGGGCACCGGGCTGGCCAGGCAGTGGCCGCGGGGCCCCGCGCCGAGCAGCAGGAGCAGCAGGAGCGGCAGGGCCGGCGCGGGCAGCAGCTGCGCGCGGGGCGCCTGGGCGCGGCGGGGCGGCATGGCCGGCGGAGCGGGCGCGGAGCGGAGCGGAGCCGGAGCCGGAGCGGAGCCGGGCGCGGCGGTGGTGGCGGCGGCGGCGGGAGCGGTGGCGGCACCGAGGGCTGCTCCCGGGGCCTGGCGCCTCCTGCAGCTGCGGGAGCCGTGGTTCCCGGGCAACGACGGGCGGGGCTTGGGGGCGGGGCAAACGGAGGCGGGGCGCGGGGGAGGAAAGGGGCGTGGGGACCCTTCCTATGCTAGGAGTTGGGGCGGCTGAGCTTAAGGCCACCCAGAGCCCCTAGCTGTGAGGGCGCGGTCAGAGTCCGGGGATGGGGTGGAGCGGGGGAGGGGGGAGTATCCAAAGAACCCTGAGCCTGCAACGGTGGTGGCGCTGGCCTGACCGAGACAGAAGGAAAGGGCTGAAGGGGTCACAATGCCGGCCGGGGAAAGGACTTTGCCGGCCTCCAGCTGCTGAGCGCCCCCAATGGGCCGGGCAGGGGCAGGGATGTCGCGCAGCGAAGGGAAGGGCAGCCCGGGCTCCGCCACCGCCACCAGCTGCCTCTTGGCGCAGAATCGAGGAGACCGCGGCAGGGACCAGCCTCCCCTCATTCTCCCCCCCAACACACACACACACACACACACACACACGCACACACACACACACACACACACACACACACACAGTTCTCCCCCGCAGACACCCCCTCGCCGCACACTGCCAAACCCCAGAGCCCCCCCACGCGCTCATCAGCTCCTCCGCGGGGCTCTCTCGGCAGTGACCTTGTGTCCGCTCCGCCACCCTGGGGCCCTTGTCCTTGGTGCTGACCGCGGAGCCTCCCTTCTCGCGAGCTCGGCCTTGCTCGCCACTCAGCAATGTCTTTCTTGACTGTGGCTTGTGGACGCTGGAAAAGGCCTCGGGATGGGTGTCAAACCCTGTCGTTGCACAGGGGGAGGGGGGAAACTGAGGCCCAGACGGGCTGGACTGGAACCCAGTGGGTCACTTGGCTCCCAGCCCAGAACTCTGTGAGTCTCCAAAAAGAGTTGCTCACAAGTGCAGGTTTGTAAAGGCCCTGCCTGCCAGGATTCGCTCCAGGGCTGTGAAGAGGAGACACATTCACCTTGACCCACTTGGGGCGGCGCGGCGGGTGCTGGAACTCTTCTAAAAGCCCGGGCTAGCCTGGTTCTTGCTTTGACAACTACGGAGGTCAAGCGCTGCTGAGTAAACGCAGTTCGATTTGTCTCCGCCACCCGACCTTTCCCAGCCTCTTCGAGGCACAGGCTCTCAGGTACAGACATGCTTTTTGAAGATGGCCATGTGAGAAAATCAAATGTCTCTTGGCTTGACAAATCTTTTAGGGCACCCCAAAATTGTTTTGTAAAACCTGGGCAAATGAGCAAGCAGAGATGCCGCATGAGCCCATGCATGCAAAATCTCCAGTGGAAACAGGAAACGCACTGTCCACCCTCTCCCAGCCTTCCTCAGACACAGGAGCCAATGTCAGGGGTTTGTGCTTTAGGAGACGCCTGAACTTCCTGCGGCCATTGCAAGAGGTCGCTGAAACCCCCCGGGTCTGCATGCATCAGGGAGAACTCATCTCTCCAAGTGGATCCAAACGTTTTTGCGTTTTCCCTCACACCTGCTGCCTTTTATCCCAGACTTCCTCTTTTTTAAAAAATCCTAATTTTGTGCCACGCCAGCACCCTCTGCTGGTACTAGCCTCATCATTCAGGTGTTCTTCCACTTTCTGTGCCCCTGAGTATGCATTCTTTCTTGGCACAAATTTCTCTTGCCTTAAATCCTGGAATAATGGACTAGTGCTCACTCCCTCGCATCAACACATACCTCTAAAGCAAAGTGAAGTATAAGAAATGTGATCTCATTACAATCACAATTAAGTTTTTATTTAGCAATCCCCTTATGTATGGATTTCATATCATTTCAAAATATGGAAGAACAGAGGTTTTCTTTTCTGAAGGCCCATTTCTAAATTTTGAAGATAACATTCAGCTTTTTTTTTTTTTTTTTTTAAGTTTCCTATCTTTAATCTTGAAAGGGCATATTATGGAAGAGACGATGTTCTCCATTTCATTGTTCTCCAAGCTTGGAAAGAAAGACTACATCTCTTGCCCCTTACTTCTTGGTGGAGCCATGCAATCAGTTCTAGACAACAGAACATGGCATTGTATGTCCTCACCCCAAACCCCCAAACCCCCCCCCCCCCACTAAATACCAGATGACCACTGTGATGGCTGCTGTGACCACTCCCAGAGAAGGGGGTCCTTCTGTGGGTCTGAAGGCTGATTCGGTACTTGGATGACAGACTCTCAAATACCCATCTAATGACTCCAACTAATACGTGACCTTGACTTCTTAACAGAAGTCATTAAAATAATATTGGCTCCATGTTTAAATAAAACCTAAAAATTCAGTTGTCCAGGCCTTTGGTTCATGCTGTTCCAAATTTACAGAACATCAAATCTGCACTCTAAACCATCTCACTTCTTTTTAAAAAAAAAAAAAAAAAATATAGAGACTCTTCTACATTAATAAGGGGGAAATATCCAAACAATGAGTCTTGATTTCAGCAAAGAATGTGATAGAGTTTCTCACAGTCACCTTCTGGGGAGAGTGGACTTGAAGCCCTTTAACAAATGTAGTCTGAACATGCTAGACAGGGGACCACTACTAGGTTAGATGAAGTTTTTAAGAAAATTCCAGAGTCTCAAATTTTGACAGCTAATACAATTCATAACGGAATCAAAATGTAACATCCTCTTAACCAGTAAACATGCTGAGATCTAGGCAATTGGAAGCTCCTAACCCCATGTCCTCTAATTGGAATGTGTTCATCCAGAACACTGTTCCCACAGCCAGAGCTGTTCCAAGGACATCGTCTGGAGAAAGTGAGGTATTATTGAGACCAGATAGACTGAATATTGAAGGAACCCCATTCAGGCCTCAATGCAAACTTTTAAGATTCTGATGGGATGATGCAGCAATCTACTCATCTTGTCATCCAAGACAAGCCTTGTACATAGGTTTCAGTGTTTATTATACCTCTTACCTACTCACCTGGAGCGTCTGCCTCTTTCTTCGGTCTCTCTTGCCCTCCATGTATGGGGGCCAGTTTCAGATTTCACCAGAGAAGCTCCAGAATGCTCATTGCAAACCAGAACCTTGCTTTATAGAGCTCTGGGGAGAAGTAAGTGGGATGATAGTGGTGATAAGTAGAGTACATACAATGTGCCTGGCACTAATGTGAGAATATTTTACATATTATATCATCTAATCCTAATGCCAGAGAGAGCAACTATGACTTCTGCCCAATTAAAAAAAGACAAAATTAAGGTGCAGAGAGGTTAAATTAAAAAAAAAAATCTAGCCTGGCCGGTATGGCTCAGTGGTTGAGCATCGACCCATAAACCAGGAGGTCCCGGGTTCGATTCCCAGTCAGGGAACGTGCCCAGGTTGCAGGCTCGATCCCCAGTAGAGGGTGTGCAGGAGGCAGCCAATCCATGATTCTCTCTCATTGATGTTTCTCTCTCTCTCTCTCTCTCTCTCTCTCTCTCTCTCTCTCTCTCTCTCTCTCCCTCTCCTTCTCCCTCTCCCTCTCCCTCTCCCTCTCCCTCTCCCTCTCCCTCTCCCTCTCCCTCTCCCTCTCCCTCTCTCTCTCTGTCTTCCTCTCTGAAATCAATAAAAATATTTTAAAAACCTAGTCACTCAGCTTCCAAGTAGAGTGGCCAGGTCTCAACCCTAGAGGGGAGTCTGGCTAAAGAGCCTGTGCTTTGAACCTCAATTTTATCTACTATATGCATTTTCTATAATGCACAGTCTGATACTTAATAGATACGGTAGGTAGGTAGGGAGGGAGGGAGGGAGGGAGGGAGGGAGGTAGAGATAGATAGGTAGATACAAGTATTGTATATATAATATACAGATATATGTATATATATGTGTGTGTTTTATATGTGATATGTATCGTGTGTGGTGTTTCTTATGTGGCTATGTGGGTATGGTGTGTATGGATAGTGTGTATATTATATAGTATATGTGTGAATGAGTTTATGACATGAAGCACAGTGCCTTTGGGATTTGGATTTATTGTTGGGAGGCCTTGGAAGGTTTTAATTTCTTTGCTCGCTTGCTTTCTTTGTAAAGTGCTCTACTACTCCTGAGTTGCAGAATTACAGGATGTGAACATGGGGTGGGACTTGGACGATCTTCCCTGAGGAAGAAGGTGAGGCATTGAGGAAGTTCACCCCTCCTCCAGACTGGGTGTCCCAGAACCAGAGCAAGATGCAGGCCTCCAAATTCAATAGTTTATGTTTTTTCCTCTCCTAACCATGCCTTGTCTTGACTCCCGATATTCCTACATAAAAGGCAATAATATCAGAAGGCAATGTAAACATATCACCACTAAGTACATGGGAGTTTTAAGTGTCTTTGAAGAGTCTTCATAAAGAATAAATATGATTTGTATACGTTTTAGACACAAGCTCCAGAACTATTATCTTTTTCCTTTCATGAGTAGCATTCTTTTAAAATTAGTCATTTAAGTGTCCCAACACTATATCCCTGTTACTCTGAATTATCATGCACAATTCCTAACTGCTGTGTTTAAGATATGTTCCCATTTATTTTCTTCCCACTAGACTTGCTATTTGAATCAAACCGCTATTCTAGCAGTTGTTTAAAACAGTTTTAGTTTGTTAGACATTATCACTCTGGTATTTGATCTAGGGCAGGTTTAATTGAGAAGTTGTGAATATAGAAACAGCAAGGATGCATTGCATATCTTCCCAGTATAAATAGTTCATGTAGTGCAGAAATACCACAGATCAAAATCAGATCGTTTTATCAAGACTCCTGAGAACGTGTGATTGTGTTAAACTCAGTACTTGTTCTCAGTGCCAACTTCTTGAGGAATATACCACAATGGAATACAGGAGTGCTTTCAACCAGAATCCTCATCCGGGCCTTGAAAGTAAGGAGCCTCTCCAAAGCCTCTCCTTTGCTCCTGAATTCACTCTCAAGGGGACAAAGTTTTAGTTATTCCAGGACCTGCTGGTCCTGGAGGGCTACTGTGCAGCCTGGAGTCTAGTTAACAGCGCTGTCCTCTATACTTAAAATTTACTAGGAGGGTAGATCTTATGTTAAGTTTTCTTTTCACACACAAAAATAAT